CATGAACGCCGTGCGCGAATGTCTTGCCGAAAAGGGCGACCCGGCCGCGTGCGTTTACCAGCGTATATCCGACGTGCTTTCCGCGCGTCACGGTCCGGTAGACGGGGCCTTGAGCAGCGAGAAGTGCACCGAACCAACCGGCGACGATGCGTCCGACAACGACAGCGTCCTTGACCGGATATCCGTCGGATCCGACCGAGAAACGTCGCCAATACCGTCGTCACCACCTGAAATCCTGCCTTTGGCGGATATAGCTGTGACCGCCGATACGTCCGATCTCGAACGAACACCGTCCGACGACCAACCCCCGACCGTGGTCCCATCTCCGGATCGTCCCGAGCGGCAGGTTTTGCCTAAACACGACCAACAAGTACAAATGCCGTTCGATAACCGTCCGTTTACGGTAAACGTTGCCGTGTGGACGGCGGACGCGACTCAAGGAGGCGACGGTGACCGCATGACTCGCGACACAGTTGCGGCTGGTGGTGGCCATCTTCTCGATGGTAACGTTCCGCTGCTGGTGACGGGATCCGCGAGACCGCCAACCCCTCGAGGAACGATGAAAATTAACAGGTTCGGCAGACTTAAGTTTTGGAGAAAAAACAGAACCCCGAAACCGCCTGCCGTTCAAAAACTACTAGGCCACACGTCCACTGAATTAGGTGATCCGGATCTTAAGGAAAGTTAACGATCGCCTTCAATGATAATATTTTATTCTTGCTTTACGTAAATTAATAAATGTTATATTATATAATTAATAAGAATTAGTTTATTAATCAATTGATAAATGTCGCATTGAAAGAATGCAAACGGTAGGTCTTGATAACATTTCACGTTTTCATTCAACTATTTAGTGAAATGTTTATACAAGAGGCAAAGATATACTCGAATTCACGAATTCCCTACTTACGGAATTATTTGTAGATATTAGATGTGTAGATGTTAGATTGTTTGTAGATTGTAAATTACCAGAATGAATTGTAATTTATTAGTAAAACATTATTTTATAATATTAAATTTTTTTTCTATATCTTTTTTCTTGGTATGTGTTGTGATAACTTCAAATGATAATCTCTGTATAAATTACATATATATTTTTAACTGGGTTTTCATGATTTTTGCTTTGGGAAAGGACAGTAGAAAAAATGTATAATACCTGTTCCAGTTCTTACAAGGAGGGAACATGGGTACATGTTGCGTTATATTACACAGATTATTTTACCAAATATAAAAAAGTTATCGAGAGACTGGCAATGGATGATACGCAAAGTTTTAGAAAAGTTCTCGATATAATTGAAAATAGTACTGTTGTCAATCGTTTATCATTTATATTCATTATTTTGATATTTTTAATGATAGTAATAAAAAAACTGGAAACTCAAAATATGAAGTTACATGAAAGCTTTTCAATAATTTATGTAACGAAAGAAAAAATTATTTATATTCCTGGATCGAAAGTTGCAACACCTACATCAAACGAGCTTTCCAATAAAAATAAAGGCCTGGAAGTTTTACGAAAAATGAATGTAGTACTCTTGGGTGAAAATGTTCAGCTTGAAGATATTTATTAAGACTTGATAATACTAAGTTGCTTCAAATATGTCCCAAAAATTACGGTTGACGTCGATCGTTCGTTCTCAGTCTTTAAAAATATGCTAACCGATAAACGTCACAACTTCACTGAAGAAAAACTCGAACTACATATGATTATTTATTTTAATAATAAATAATATTTTAAAAATACATTGAGTTATTTAATTCGTAAATTTTAAACAAATAAAAATAAAGTTCTTGTATATTTGTTGCATATTTTCGTGATTTTTATTGCATATTATATGTCATATTTCGATACTTTTTGTGTGCATAAAAATCCGTATTCTACCTATTTTATAATATAATTTTAATAAATAACAACTAGAAATTTAACATTATTTCTGTGAAACCGAAACCATTGGTTTTCCGATAGTGACTGCCGCCAAACGGTGAGCACACACAAATGATTACATGTTAATAATAATAATATAGATAAAAACATACACTGGTACATAGTGTTTACGCCGTAACAATATGCAACAAGAAATTCATCATCAAATGAAGACATATTACACTAAAGCCGTGGTTTCCTACAATCACGCATCCGTGATTGCGTGATGCATGATCACGCAAAAGTTGAAACCATGAAAAATAGTATTGATGTTTATTAATAATTCACGTGCGCGATTGTCGAATCACGCACGTCAATCGCGCACCAGTCGCCACGAGGACAACTTTTACGTGAAACGTAGTGCGGGGTTAAATTATTTTATACATTATCAAAATATTTTTCTACATATTATTTATATTTTATTATATGTTTTATTTAATTTTTATTACTAATTGAAGTACTGAAACATCCCTCCCTGCTCCGTTGACTAAACATTTCATGATTTTCATTACGGAAATTATTCGCATATTCGCAAGTAGCAATAGTTCTTCATCTGCTTCATACTCCAAAATTGTATAAAGCATAACCACGTCCATTTTGATGTACTACTAAACATCAACTGACTAAAATTTTCTACTCCAAACCACGCATCGTAACAAAACACTTCCATTACGCATCGCGCATCACACAATCACGGATGCGTGGTTGTAGAAAACCACGGCTTAACTACACGACTATTGAGATGGACTGAGCGAGAGCGAGACTGAACAACATTAGAAAAAATCAGTTGCTTCAATGAGAACACTGCTCGCAACGGAATTTAAATTCGATTGCAACCTAAAGAATTGCACGATCAAGTTGCGGTTGCAAATTGCGTCGGTGAGAACAAGCGTTTGAAATGTGCAAGTGACTAATTAAATAGAACAAAATATTAATAATAAAAGCAGAAGTACCTTAATTTTTTTTTTTGGAATAATAAAAATCAATTATTTTTTAATCTTTATCAAAACACATAAATATAATATCAATATTAAAAATTGTAGTTCTTATCCTCCGAGCCATATAAATAATATAATTTCATTATCTTCATTATATTAAAAGATACATAGTGAGTATATCTTTGTATATTCCTATATGTGACTCAAGTTTATATAAATATATTTTGTTATTTGCCAGTAGTTAATTGACTAAAAGTTTAAAAAAAGTCAAAGGAGACCCAAAAATCCTACTTTTGAAATCACTCATCTACACAATAGACTTATAATAATTCCAGTAATTTCAACAAATATTATTGATATTCATTCTATGTATATATTTATTTTTCATTATTTTTTGTTTTCATTTAGTATTTTATGTAAAAAAAAAAATAATAAAACATCACAATATTGAAGACAAGTATTCCAAAATATTTATTAGTAACAAGATATATTTAAATAATTAATAAATACAAACTAAATAGCTTTTAATTTAGAGAAAGTATAACAAAATAATTAAATATACACGTACAAAATTATCTTACATTAATTAAATAACTTTTATGGATTACTAGAATTCAATTTTACTTAACATAACAAGAAAATAATTAAATAATCAAATTAAATAACAAATTTAATTTAATAACAAAATAAATTTAATTATTAAAACAGAATAATATTAGAATGATTTTATTTATAATATTAATCATTCATCATAATATTAAATATAAATTTAAATAAATGATACAAAATCATTTACAACATCTAAATAAATTTTTTTAATAAATAAATTAAATAATTATTGTGTAGAAAAATTAATATTATTGATACAAAAATAAACAAAATATTGTACATGGTGAAAACATTATACAAAATGGTTTTTTAATGTGAAAGCCTCATAATATAATTACAATAGCAAGTGTTTATGTTGTTTTATCGTTACATTCAATAATTCTTCATATATTATCAACAAGTATTGAACATTTTCAATATTAATACCTGTTATTTATATAAATAATATTATATAAGCCAGTCTTCCAAGATTCTTTTGAGATAAAAATTGTTCCAGAAAATCAAAAATGTGATTTATGATGTTGGTTCCCATATTACTAATTTATTATTACATAAATATGATATAATATATAAATATGATATAATACATGTATAAAATTCCTAAAACAAAATCAAAAATAATTTTATTACTAAAATATTAATTTAACTGTTAAAGACATTTAATAATTGATTCAATAAAAATAGTGTAACGGAGAATGATTTATGAATGTCTAATTTTTAACCACTCATTAAATTTGATCAAATATTTTTAAATATATTACAGCATAAAAATGATTGAAACATTTTGTTTGAAGAGCTTATTAGCACTATATTTTGTTTTATATTCTACATGGAGTTACAGTTAAATCTAATCTACAGAACATATTTTTAATGTAACGCATTGTAACTAATATTTTCTTTCTATATAAAAAAATTAATAAAAAGGAAATGCTTAGCCTGGGGTATAATATTATATTTTTAATGTACTACCGGTTTTAAATTAAAAATTCATCATCAGGTATATACAAAGTTAATAAAATCAGAACTCATTTCATTTTTTCTAATATTTTTTTTTTTATATTAATTTTATAGTCACGTTTTTATTGACTGTATATACCTGATGATGAAATTTTAATTCGAATCCGGTTATATATTACTAATATAATAATACTTCAGCCTAAGCATTTATTTATTTCTAAATACAAAATATTTATAAATTAATTTATGAGATAACCATTTACTAGTTTGTTTTTTCTGCAATGCTAAATTTTCAAATTAAATTTTAATCAAATAATAAGTTTTATTTAAATTAATTTAAAACCATTAAAGTTATTTATTTACTACTTAAGTATTTATAAATTTAATTTGTGAAAATTAAATCAATTATATATGAACGAGTGGTTTCCAATACGATTTTAAACTTTAAGTAGTAAGTATAGTCTTGAACTATTTAGTATAATCAAATGAAATGTCATATATTTTAATTTACGATTTTGATAGTAAATTTATTATTATAATATTGTTGCTATATATTTATATACTAACCTTGCTATATAATATATGTTATTATATATGATGTAACTATTTTAATAAATTGGTTCTCCATTTACTCTTGATGGAGGCTGTACAATATTACCAATATCAGCCAAAATTCTTCTATTTGAACGAGATGAATGTAATATTTTAAAATATCCAATGTTTTCTTTAACTGATTCCATGTATTTTAAATAAGATTCTTTTTTTTTTTTTGCTAATGGAGAATATTTTACTACATTATACCAAACCTTAGATACCGAAGAAATTTTTACAATATCTTTCCCATACAAAAATGAAAATATTTTTTCCGTCACAGGAAAAAAATGATGACGTTTTGCTAAATAATACATGAAATCAACTTTCTTCTGACCTTCGAGATTAATACGTTTATGGTAAACCATTTTTTGTAAATTTGAGTTCTTACTTTTTAAATGTTGGTGTGCATTATTTTTTAGGCTTGTATTTATTCGAGAAATTTGCATTTGTAAATGGGAATGTAAATCAGAAATTTTTTTACTTTTTTTTTGAGATTCTTGAAATGTGCATGGTAATGAAGTTAATACAATTGAATCTTCTGAAGTAGTAGTATCATTTAGTTTACCAGTTGTATAATCAAAGGTTAAGCTATTAGTAGTTGAAAATAATTGTAGAACACCAAGATCTAATGATTGATCAAATGAAATAGTTTCACCTGATGATAGATTATTAGAAGTGGAATGATAAATTAAAGTATTATTGTAGAAACTGTCATTTTTGGTCTTGCAAGATGTTGAAGTGGTAAAAAATGACTCATAATTACCAACACAAAAAGATTTTCTGTAAGTGTTATCAGCCATTATTTAAATGTATCTAAAAATTATAAAAATATATAAAATTACTAAAAACATAATTAAGTCATTTAATTACAGATTTGACTTAATATAAAATAAAAAAATAAAACAATTGATGAATCAGTTAGAAAATTAATTTCTTTTAAATAATAGATAATTTTTAAGTTTTTTCATTTTTTTAAGTAGATATTATTTGTTTTACAATATTTTTATATTTTTAATTTTGCAAATTTTTTTCGATTAATAAACTTAATTTATACTAAAATTGTTGTGACATATTCAATAAAGGAGCATTATTACGTAAGCATACTTGGTGGGAAGGGTTCGATAAATTTGACAGTACCTTACACGAGTGGAGGAGGGGAGGGCTAAATCTCAAATCCGATGTGAGCATCATATTTTTTAAAATTCGAAATTACGTGCGAAAAATACAAGTCGATGAACTACTGACAGCATCAAATATGTCTCATCTTATCATTATTATAAATATTTTTATTTTGACAGTCAAAAATATTAATTTTAAGATTAAGAATAAAAGAATTTAGAGATTTATGAAAAACGTTGACGTAAGATAGTAGGGGGTAGTCACTGCCGGACAAACACTGACATGGAGGAAGGGGATGACCAAAAATGTTAAAAAAATGTAGTGACATAATATTTGAAAGCTCCCTAAATAGTAAATTATAATCACATATTTTTCAATAATAAAAAAAAAAATAAGCACTTAAATAATATGTTATAATTATTTAAGCAATTATTAAAGACTAGAAGAATTATTTTAAAATTCTTCTTTTCTTTAAGTAGAAATGTAAAGCAACAGAAAGAGCAATTATTATTAAGAATTCGACTGAATTAAAAATAATTTTACCAACATTCATATTTAATTATATATTAATTACATGAGTGTAATTTATTGACGGTGCCTGAATAAAATTAATGGAAAGACTTTTGTGTATAACTAGGTACTAAATGAACTTTTTGAATTTTAATCTTTTAGAAGATAGTTAATTTAAATTACTAAGAAAATGTATAGTTTTTTATACAATATTACATGTACCATAATAAAAATTTTTAATCGAAAATGCGATAAATTTACAAGGCACCGCGCAAATATTGGTAATGAATAATTAATATATACGTGTTGCCTGGTCAGTTGCGTATACCAGATTTATGGTTTTCGCTATAGGTTGAACAGAGACCGATGGGGGCTTCACCCCCCCCCACCCCCTGCTTTATAGCTGAACTAGATAATATAACCAAATCTGGAGGGGTTAAAACCCTAGAACTCTACTCCTGTGTACACCATTGCACCTGACACTCTAAGGGGACTATAGTCTCCTGTATTCCCTAAGTACCCATTATCGTGATGATTCCCCCAAACTTCTTTTTTACCTTCTATTAATAAGAATTGAGACAGTGGTTCAGTTGTCTCAGACTAGGTTCACATGGACGCGCATCAGTGTTAATCGCGCGTATTTAGATATACAGGTTTCTCATACATCGTTTACGCGCGTCGATTGCGATTATGTTTGTACACGCGCGTCACCACGAATTGTAGTACTGTTATTACGATACGGATCGTTCAAGAGACACGCACATTACATTGTAGTTAGTTTACTTTACAGTCTATAATTTTTTGAAAAAAAAACATAGTCTATATAAATATAGAAATAAACATAATTTTAAGATTTAATAAATAAAAATAATTACCCTGGTGGCAATATTAAAATTAGGTTTAGGGGTGGCACAATATTGAAATCGTCAAAAACGTAAAATTCATTTGTAGCTCATTTTACCTAATGAGCATAATATAAAAATATAGTATAAAATACAATAAGATATAATAAGTATAATAAAAAATAACTATAATAATATAATTACACCAAAATAGATTTTGAAAGTACCTAATAAAGTTTTTATTCGTTATCAACTATAAAATGCTCCGGGCATATTTATGTTGTAAGCATATGATTCGTATTTAGTTCTACGATTCGTAAACTATGGAACATACATACTAAAAATAGAAAATATACAGTAATGGTATTAACATGATATAAGGAGCAAAATGAAAAAATTAGAAACAGCATACATGACAGTATTTTAAAGATATATTTTACTTACATTTAAAAATCTGTTGATATTGATATAAGCACAGTAGTTAGTTTGTACAATTCATTAATTGTTCAAACTTTACGATCAATGTTTGATGATTATGAAAAGTTGGCAAAAGCTATGTTTAAAAATGATGGCATAGTTCCTGATTATGAACACAAAAATAGAAAATATAAGAAACATAATAATGAATCTATTGAACCAGATTCTATTTTCAACGGAATCCAAAATTTCAAAATTAAAATCATTTATATTATTTGTGATAATTTAATAGAAGAACTAAAAAAAAGAAAAATTTCTTACGATGATATTATATTTAAATACTTATTTTTTTTTTTTTAAATATTAGTGAACAAAAAACCTCAGAAGTTTCTGATGGTGTAAAAAAATTATGAAAAAAATTCAAGAATTTGGATGAAACATTTGAAAACGAGTGTTGCTTGAAAAAATCAAAAACTTTCCAAGAAATATTATTAATATGTGTAAATTTATTAAAGAAAAAAACATAGAAGCTATTTTCCTTATGTTCATATTACTCTTCGAATGTTTCTATGTACTCCTGCTTCTAACTGTTCAACGGAAAGATAATTTTCCACTCTACGAAGAATTAAAACATATTTAAGATCAACCATGTCATCGGAAAGATTCGACACTTTAGCCATATTAAACATAGTCATCTATAACTAAAACGATTGATTACGATGATATTATTAAATCATTTGCATCAAAACAGTCTCGCAAAAAAAATGTAAGAAAAGTTATGAAGTTATAAATTAATTGAACATTTATATTTTTCAAGTTGTTTTATCATTTTAAAAATTGTTTTAAATAATATATTGGTTATTACTGAATTTTATTTTATATTAATGTAACTATTTACTACTAAAATTTTGTAATATCAATAGAAATATATTTTTATTTTTTTTTTGTGGGGGGGCGGCAAATTGTGTGTTGCCCCTGGTGGCAATATTTGTAAATATGGGCCTAAGCACCAACAAATAATTTCAATAATGTTATAAATAAAATTTTAAATATTTTCGAAAACAACTATGAAAACTATTTAAATAAAAAAAATTGATTTCAAGTAACTGAGCTTGTAAAAAATAATAAAACAATTATAAAATGGTTAGATGAATCGACGAAAAACTGTATAATGCATAAAATGTATATAATTGATCAAATTTTAATTTGTAAAATATTTAATAAAACAAAAATGTTTTCAACCCGATCAAAATTAGCTAAACTTTCAAAATTAAAAGTATTTAGTCACATTTGAATAATAATATTTCAAAATATAATTTATAATAAATATAATTTTAGTCGCCGAATACTACTATGCCATGAGCTGTTTATTCTATAATCAATGGTAATACCTAGTTCTATTAAATTACGTCAACAATATTTCAAGATTAAGATAATAATAACTTAATTTTGATGGAAACATTTTAGTCATTTCGACGACGGTCGCCGTTTCAGTGAAACTAACGTCTGACAGGTTCAATCGTAACACATAATGGTTTGGCTTGTTGGATGGAAGGGACCGGGAAGAATAATCCACGTATTATAGAATTGAATTAGTTTATATAAAAATTTACGATTAAATTAAGTTAAAAATATTAACTAAATATTAAATTAAGTATTAAGTATAATTAATTTTCCAATAAAAGGGATGTTCTTGTTGGTTGTTGTATGGAGTTTATGTTAATTAATTTAAGTCACCCCAGAATATTTACTACGAGCGGCTACTACTCCAATATACATCGGCGCGTGTAAATAGAACCACGCTTAAGCGCCATGTCCAACGTAAATCCGTCACGTCCGAATTAAGAAACAAACCGGCAAACATGACTTGTCCAATCTGGATGGTGTTTACGTCTGCACAGCGATCACTACACGTCCGACATCGTATCGGACGCATTCGTTGCACGATTTGAAAAACAAATATTTATTTTTTTCGACGCATCGGATGCAAAAACGGACGGACGTTAAATTTTAATTTATTTAATAATACATTTTTGATTAAATATGAATTATTAATTAGATTAAAAAGTTCATCTTCTTGTGGTGAAAATGCCGACGCGAGCAACGAGTCCTACCCTACACTGCTTTTCCAGCGGTATTGTCGCGCATTGAACACCATACCTTATTGTGCGTGTACGCGCATCCATGCGGAACTAACTTCGTCCGTTTCTCGACCATTATGACGTGATTTGTAATATTTCTAGTATTGCTATCGCGGCGTCCGTTTCGATTGCCAATTCCAAGAATAGCTCAGAACGTATGTTATATAATTAATACGTACATCGATTTGTTTGTACGAACATATGCATGCGCACAATGTTATTTGGACAAAAATATAGAAAAAATGTATTAAACGAGTCATGGTTCAAAATAATTTTTTTAAAAATTAAAACAAATTTTTATTTTGCCCTGTTAAAATTATTGGGAGACGCTATCTCAACATTTCCCCTGACGCACCGCGTCTGGTGTAGGTAGTTAAATATATTAATTATTACTTATTATATACTTACTTATAATCGACGTTAGTATATTCATTAATTATTAAATGATATTATAAAATATAATATATTATACTTATTAGAAGTAACGAAACGTCTACGAATAACGAAATATTAAAGAGATTATGTTATCTCTTATCACTTTATAATTAGGAATCAATCGTTTTTGTATGAATAACTAATTGGTATGGATTATTGAAAGCGGGGATATCCGATCTGTGTCTATCGAACGCGCAATGTTGGAGTTTAGATTTTTTTGTTTGCAATTTCGGTAGAATTCAGAATGTTTTTTTGGTACCATATAGCCGCTTTTAGAACCCTTCGAATTGGATGATATTAGATAACAAATTTATTGTTGACGAGAAAAACGGTGTTTTAGAAAAAAAAGAAAACCCACAGCAGACCGTGAACCAACAATTACTGTTCGCTATCACGGTGTCGGTTCATGCGTGTTTAAAAGTCTACGGTGATTGGTATTCATCATCCGTCTCTCTGTGCCCCGGCATCGCTTTCGGACGAAAATGCGTTTCCCCGTCGCAGTGGTCAGCCCATCGTCGCCTTGGCCCGAACTGCGACGTTTCGTCATCGTCAATGGCCGTTATTCGCGCGCACATTGTGTACATTCTACACGACGAACGTGTACGATCAGTGATAAAGGTTGGCGAAATGTGTCGCGCGCGCAGCCAATCGCAACCGACAAAATCGAACACAACATTTACATACCTACCGAACGCTTCGACCCAGTGATCGCGTCTTGCATAAACGTCTACGAGTGCCACGAACCGTCCGACTACCAACTAACGCAAACGGAAACACCGCGGCGATGCTAAATAGGGGCCCATAGATGATAAATCAATTAAATCGCAGATTACGTCAACGTTAGATTTTTTTATAAAAAAAACGTGATTTTCCGCGGGGCTGCGGTCTGTTTCGCGAAATATTGATGTTTATAGGAAACCACGATACAGGACCTTTTTCAATCGCACGTAAACTATCTAATAGATACCGCTGTTTCGATTAGATTCTAATTTTCAATTATTAGGTATGCCTCTGGGTTCCGATTTACATTATTTTATTAATAATGATTTCAGTTTCTCTTACTCGTCGAAATTCGTAATTATAAATATTATAAATATCTACTCTACTCTAACTAATCATGTACGAACACAACTTTTTTGTAGTTTACTCAAAATCATTTCTTAATATTTTTGAACATTTAGAAGTTATCACTACATTTGTGATAGGTTTTGATGTCCTATCATAGACATTTTATTAAAAAAAAAAAGTAAAAGGTCTATGTGTTTTATCTGTGCAGCTTGTACTATTAATATTGTTACCTATTTCATTTTTTTTAAATTCATTTTGTAACATTTTTACAATACGATAAATTATAATTTGTTAGTTGAATTTACTTTATAATCGTGTAGCCGATTATTTAAATATATCTATATTTAAGACTTAAATATATCTATTAAATTTTAAATTATATATCCCTCATTAAAATTTATAATTTGTAAATAGTTTTCAGATTTATTCCAGACAAAAGTATATTTTCAGTTTAAAAAATAATAACAGATTGATTACCTAATTATAATGTGCGATTTGATTAATAAAAAAAAAACTATTACTAAAAATTATTACTAATATTGTACAAAAAATTATAAACATATGGAAGGGGGTAGAGGAGGGCTCTGTATCATATAATTGTACATTAAAAAATGTATAGTACGAATTTTTATGAAAAGTAGGGGCTGTTTATATGTATGTAACTTATTAGTCCTACATTCATTCACATAAATTTAATTATTAAATTGTTAAAAAAATAAAATTGCAATTGACTTAAATTACTTTTGAAATATTAGTGCATACAACATAAAATTTGCTAATCCACCAATCGATTTAATTGTTTATATTAAATATGTTCATAAATATGTGAGCCAAGAGATACCCACCCTCTAGGTAGATTTCTTGGACTAAGCTACTGCATTAGGTAAATATCATTCACCATACCACTGGTGGTGGTAATTAATTTATATATCAACTTCGCTCCACCAAATAAAATACAAGTCTGTGCCACCGTATTTAGTTTTTAAAGTTCTTCCCACTTTATTCATCTTGAGGAACTAAAAATTGAATTTGAAATTAAATAGAGATTCCATACTTAGTAAAAATTGGACTTTTCAATTATTTGATTAAAACAAAGTTTGCAAATATAGGTATTACAAATAAAAAACAAATATATTTAAATTAAAATAATAATTGAATGTTGTTCATGAATTATACCTAAACAATTGACATAAGTCATATTATTGAGAGAAACTAGTAATAATTATTATACCAAAAATGTACCATTTAAATAAAAAAGTATAGGTACAACTTTTTTATTTAATTAGTAAAACTTATAGAATTGGTGTATAATACTATAATGACATTTATAAGAAGCGATAAGACATGAGTTACTTAAATTGAAGTTAATTTATGTTTACACAGTTTTCATAAATAACAAAAATGAAAAATATAATTATCTTATAATAACCCAATATAATATTTATCATATAAATTACATTTTTCAATCTTATATTTTCTTTCTACTTTTTAATGAATTAATGGTTAAAAACGTAAATTTAATTACTTAAATATTAAGTATAATCACAAAAAAATAAGAACAATTAATTTGACTTGCTTAAGGTTGGTTAATGTTAAAATCAAGAAATTTCTATGTTAGTGGTACTTTTGAACCAAATTTTAGATAAAATACTGGTAATACTATGGATAATATTGATGAAAAAATAGGGCAGGGGTTTTGAAACTATATACAAAATGGAAAAATTTGTTATATATTATTGAAAATGTTAATGTAACAATTAAAATGATTGAAATAAATTTCAAAATAATTAAAATGAAAACTACAATGTCTTCAAACTCTAATAATTAATAAAAAAAATTTAATTTATTTTGAATAATCTCCATATTATAAATGTATTGTGGCTTACAAAGTCTGTCAAGTCTTCAAAAATTAAAGTTCTCAATTCATATTCAAGTAGTTGAGACCAATGAATTTGGCTATTGTGGTATTAGAGTCCTTGAAAAGTAACTGCAGAGTTCTTAAACTTTTTCATTTTAAATCACTTAAATCATATACCTACTGTTTAAACACAAATAAATACAATGTAATTTTTTAATAAATAAATACAATGTAATTTTTAATAAATAAATGCTTAGTCTGGAGTATTATTATATTTGTAAAGTAATAATTATTAATAATAATTTTGTTTTATTAAATTTGAATGTAAAATAATTTTTACTATATTTTATACAGAATATGAAAAGTGAAGAGTATAAGTGAAAGTTTAAAGCTCACCTATTAAATACAAAAAAAATTAACCATGAAATAAAATACATAAAGCCAGAAAGAAGTTGTTTAAATACTGAAGGACTTGTTCAAGAATGGGTAGTTTTTGAACAAGAAACTAAAGAAAACAAGTGTTTTCTTTCTAACTACAAAGATATGTAAAGAAGGGTATGGGAAGGGATACTATATTATTGATGATTTATATGAAATTTTACAAGTTTATTTTTAATGGTTTAGAAGCTATAAAAAGTAATTATTTGATAAACATAATGTAGCAACACTAACTATCTATAAAGCAGATATTATTGAAATTATTTTCAAATATTTATTAATATAGTTTAATAATTTGAAAAATATTTTTTAGTCCACCAAGTATTCATTGTATACACATTTCTATGATTCAATATATTTAATTCAAATTTCAAGTTTCAACTCTGAAAAAAAATCAATGTTTAAAATATGGTTTTTTTCCTAGTTAATTTGTCAATATACCACTTAATATTTTACTAATTACACATTCATTACATTAATATTTATACTCAAATTTGATAGGTAACTGATGAGTACCTACCAAATTCAGTTGTTAGTGTATTTTCCAATATATTCAATCAAATAACCATGATGCTTGATTCATCACAATTCCATTTATATTTTATCAAACATAATGGAATATATATTATATAATTTAAATATCCTTAATTTCTTTGCAGAACGAATCGATTGATAAATTAATATTAAAATATAGTTAAATTTGTTAAGAATTTTGATATTTTATTATTAGAATATCAATTAAAAAAAAAAAATTAGTAAAATTGTTCAATGTAAAATAAAAAATACATATTTACAATGCATTAAAAAGTTTAAAATTAAAATTAAGTCAATATTGACTTAAGTAAATTATTTGTTATTATATTTTGGAACTAACTTTTAATTTAATAAATTAATTTTTTAATGTATACAACGTGTTAACTTCAAGTTAATTTTATACAGAATTAAAAAAATTAATTTTAATAAAATAAAAAAAAATTAAAATAAATAAAAATCAATTTTTATTTAAACCAATTATTCAAATATATTTTTTTTTTGTTTTATTGAACCTTCATTATAAATTTTTAGAAATTAAATATAAACAAAAGATTTAATTTAGGATAGAACATAGTTGTACACTTGTAAGTTAATTATATAATTATACTATACATACATTTATAAATAAATTATAGTTAGAAAATAATATATTTTAGTGTAGGTTTAAAAACTATAGGTCTCTAATTTAATATATTTTGTATAATAA